GCCCTATATGAAGTACTTTGGATTAGTGGATTGTTAATAAACAATTGGCTAACATTACAATAGTTTATAAAAAATCCTCTAATACAAAATAGTTCATATAGGGCTCGATGGATGCGGAATTACTTTAGCTTTCAATTGGTAGTTTCAGAACAATAATAACTTTATTTACTTTTTATTTCATTTTTTATTAAAATTAATTAATTAATTAATATCTCCAAAATAACAAAATTAAATAGGACATCTCAATATTTTTTGTGGTAAAAATACACATTTTCAACTTTCCCTGTAAAAGATGGATTGAACCCTATACAACGATTAAGATTAAAACTGAAAGAGAAACAAAAAAAATTCAAGTGATTCCACCACAAAAGTTAAAGAAAAGAGGAAAGAAGGGATCGACAAAAGAAAATCTAATGTCAGCAATGACAAAAATTTAAAAAAATAAATAATCAGATTATTTAACTATATTAAATTTCAGTTTTTTTTACTATTTTTATTTACTAGTTTTTACTATTTTTTACTATTACTTTCTTTCATAAAAGTTTTAATTTTTTTTCTAAAAAATTTTTCATTGTTATTCATAATTTAGTATCTTTTCATTTTTTAAATAAATATTAATTTTTTTATATCTTAAGGAAAATTTTATATTTTTATACAAATGAGGCATTTTACGTGTAATGTCCTAAGTTAAAAAATTTATTTCTAGAAAAAAAGTGAAACTTGAGGAAATTGTTGTCCTACCTGATGATGCATCCATTTTGTTTAAAGAGGACATTACCGATGTCTTAAAACAAAATGGTTCCATCATTGTCTACAGCAGTCTGATTGCTTTTTTTAAAAAGGTGCAAAATGAAGAAGAGATTCCAATACCGTTTACTGTTAAATCAAGCAGCATTTTTCCTAACAACTCTATTGGAGAAATGGTTTGAGATAAACATGAAGCCCATACAAATTATTAGCATCGAAGTACATTATGTAACTGAGATCTTTGTTTTCGTCGAATTTATCCAAATAAGGATTATTCGCTTTAGCATAACGGTTACAACATTGACTAATGCAACCTCTGATACCTGACTCAACAAACATGACCATATCAATATCAGTTATAAGATGCAATGCTATAATCGCGTACTTGAGCATAACATCTCAAGTTAAACCGGGGGTTGTATAATATTGTGCAGGATCTAACATTGTTCTCTAAAATTTTCAAAAACATCTGCAAGTACATCAGTTTTCTTGTACTAATGGACATAGTCATAGAGAATTTTACAATAAAACTCAATCCATACATTCTGTGCATGCTTATACTCATCATGAGAAATGCCCGCATCGTAAAGCTTACTATATTAAAACACGAACGTCTTGAGGAACATCGACCCGGACAGCACCGAAACTTCCCTGAACCTTGACTGAACCTCGCTTGACGAGGTTCGGGAACTTGAGTCGCGAGGTCCAAACGAGGTTGAGTTAATATTTAAATGTCCGCGCATAATAAAGGTCAGTCACAGAGGTTAGCTGAATATTGGATTTGAATTTCTGTTAAATATTAAAATTAAAGATTCTTGGCATATTGTAAGGGGATATTTAAGGAAATTTAAAATTCAAGATTTGTTAAATGTAATCGTTAAATATTCTGGAAATTTAGAAGGAGCATAAATACGGAAAAATAAAAAGAAAGCAAATAAATTTAAAAAACTATTGAAAATTGCATTTTCTATGACATGAGAAAGCGTAAATAAAACAGAAATTAATAGACAATCATAAATACAGTTATATTTATTAGTAGTTACATAAAAATTAAATTTTTAAAGGTTTTTTTGAGAGTCTGCAGACATAAAATAAAAAATAAAAATTAATAAATAAAATAAATAAAAAATTAAAATTAAAAAAAAAATTAATATTAAAATCGTATGCAAATTTTATTAAAACGAATTATCAGAATTTTTTTGGCAGAAATCCTAGTAAATATTCACAACAATAATTTTATTGAGCCAAAAAAAAATTCATCTAAAAGAATTTTCTGAGTAAATCATTACGAAAATGCATTTTTTTTGTCTATAGTACAAATTCTGCAATAAACAAAATTTTCTTTTTAAGTAAATCATTCATTTATTTGAGTTTTTGTTTCACGACACATTTTAGACAACATTTCTTTTTGAAAATATTTCTTGTCAAAAGAGTTAAACACTATTTGTAATTTAATGTAATAATAATTTATTACTAATAAATATAACTGTATTTATTATTGTCTATTAATTTCTGTTTTATTTACGCTTTCCCAAGTCATAGAAAATGCAATTTTCAATAGTTTTTTAAATTCATTTGCTTTCTTTTTATTTTTCCGTATTTATGCTCCTTCTAAATTTCCAGAATATTTAACGATAACATTTAACAAATCTTGAGTTTTTAATTTCCTTCAGTATCCCCTCACAATATGCCTAAAATCTTTAATTTTAATATTTAACAGAAATTCAAATCCAATATTCAGCTAATCTCTGTGACTGACCTTTATTATGCGCGGACATTTAAATATTAACTCAACCTCGTTAGGACCTCGCGTCTCAAGTTCCCGAAACTCGTCAAGCGAGGTTCAGTCAAGGTTCAGGGAAGTTTCGGTGCTGTCCGGGGATAAATTGTCTGATAATAAACGGAAAAATAAATATCACAATTCCAGCTTTAATGATAAAAGTTCTACAGCAGGTAATCCAAATCGTCGTCCACCTATCAGAACAGAATCTGGAGAATTATAATGTTACAATTGTAACATGTCTGGTCATCGTGTATATGAATGTAACGAATTCTTACTGTGAGGTTACTGTAAGGATATCTGTAGGGTTTGTAAGGTTACCGTGTAAGCCTACAGTAAACTTGAGGTCATCTTAAAACTTCCGATCTTACAGTAAGCTTACACAGTAAGGTCGTGGTAAGTTTACATGGTAAGGTTGTTGTAAGCTTCCCGTAAGGTCACTGTAAAGTTGCTGTAAGGTTACTGTAAACATAGAATGTTATTAATACATAAATTTTATTAATATTTATGCGCAGTAGTTTTCTATGGCACATACGACTGCGCAGTAAATTTTATTTAACAAACCCTATTGGGGTTCATGAAGTACTTTACCAAATATATAATTTTTTATAAAAAAAATTTATAATATAATAAATATTATAATTATAATATAATTAATTTTAATGTATTTTTATATAACTTTATGTTTACAGTAACCTTACAGCAACCTTACAGTAACCTTACAGTAACCTTACGGGAAGCTTACAACAATCTTACCGTGTAAGCTTACCACAACCTTACCATGTAAACTTACCACGACCTCACTGTGTAAGCTTACTGTAAGGGCGGAAGTTTTAAGATGACCTCAAGTTTACTGTAGGCTTACACGGTAACCTTACAAACCCTACAGATATCCTTACAGTAATCTCACAGCAAGAAGTCGTGCTATGTGGGTAACTGTGGATGACGCATCGATAGAAAATGTAGGTTTTCGTGTAGTTCCAGACGATGCACATTTTTTTTAACGCCTAAGCAGAATAGATTCTTGAACGGGAACGCAATATATATATGCTATCCTTCTCTTACACATTCTTACGTTTCCGTTTACGATTGCGTTCCCGTTCAAGAATCTATTCTGCTTAGGCCTTTAATATGATTATAGGACGTACTTTTACAGATCACTGGGTTAGTGGAAAAAAGGACACGTCATAGTTAAATCAAACGGACGTGTCCTTTTTTTGCACTAACCCAGCGAGATCATCCGCGAGTGATTTATTATAAAGATGGTGATCAATTAAAAAATTAAAATTATCAATTATATCAATTAAAATTAGTCTAAAATAAACGATACGGATTAGTAGATTTAACTGACATGGTAGTAAGATCAACTACGCCCTCTCTCCGTGCTGCATTTATTTTGTATTCAAGGATGATTTAGAATTTGGCTAATATTAGGATTTATAATATCTTATTTTTTTGCGAATATTGTACAATCAATTTGACGTTTGACTACTAGCTGGTACATTAGTATGAAAGATTTTACATCACTTCTAATCTAATTTAATCTAAAACAAGCTTATACCGAAGTCCCCTAGTACGAGTGGTGGTACTTAAGTCGTCCAATACCTTCCGACATTCCCAAACTAGTTTTGACTCTATAGTCGGATTACTCAAGGCGTTTAAACCCGCCTGACTATCGACACAGATATTAATTCTCTTGCCAGATTTTCCTTTTTCAAGACAAATCATTGCGCCAGTAATTACAGCGCAGACCTCTGCCTGCCAGACCGTGATGTCAAAACCTAAAGATAATGTCACTTTAGTGGCATTAGACTTACCAAGAAGACTAGAAACAGGAGGTCGAACTACACTCGTTTCCCATAGAGAGCGGTATGTTCGCGACACTGTTCTAGATTGGGAGGAGCCACGGTGAGGGTACAGTGTCCGGTAAACCAATTTCTGTCTTCTGCGCATCTTGAAACGTCTTCTCTGTCTTTTTGACAGATTGTCAAGATTGTTGCAATTGTTGCCAAGGCAATATACATATATTTTATATAATATTAATATTATATAAAATTGTTTATATCAAAATGGTGAGAAAGTGTTGCGTATTAGGATGTAACAAAAAGAAAAGAAGTATGTATTCTTTTCCGAAAAGTAAGGTAAGTAACATAATTTTTTTAATTATGAATTTTATCTTTATAAATTAAATATATTTTATAATTTTATTAAATATTCTTACCTTATTTTCAAAACATAAATTTATATGTTTTTTATTTTTTTCTTTAAAAAATTACCTCAATTTTATATATCTTTGAAAAGATTCAACCAGATAACCACATAACCTTAAACTAAAATTCTCCACGTTGTTCTCATCACAATATAAATTAAATATTTTTTTACAATTTAGTTTAATTTTCAATACATAAATTTTTATACATTAGAAATCTCATTTTAAAAATATTATACAACTTCATCTTTATCAAAATTAATTTTTATTTTGTGTTTTAAAGGAGGTAAATAGAAAGTGGTACGAGGTTTGCGGAAATTTTATCAAAACGACAAACACTGCTAAATACATTTGTCAAGATCATTTTGATGCCGACTGTTTTCATCATGGAGGTGAAAATCTATGTTTAGTCGATGGAAATATGATAGGAACTCCACGAAGACGGCTTTCTTTAAAAGCCGGCAGTATTCCGAGTATTTTTCCCAACAATGTAAGTTGAAATTATTTATTTATGAACTTTTTGTCATTTGACTTCACAAAGGAGTGTGGATTGTTCCATGGACTACTTAGTATTAAAATAAGTACTTTTATCTACCATACAAAAGTATATACTTAGTGAGAACAACTTTTTATATTTATAATTGTACTTTCAGATTCATTTAGATAATCAACGGGAATTCCATAATGGAAATGCAGCTGCAGTTTCCTTGACGCCAAATTCGCCGATATTGCCAAGTTCGGAAATTCAGCCCAATCAATCTTTTGAAATGGAATCTCCAAGTTCAAGAATTTCAGATTCTGTTCAAGACAACCAAAATCTGTTGGCCACACCAAAACGTAAATCGTCTACTGATTATAATGAAAATAATGTTGCTGATCACATTATTCGTCTTCTTGACTCTTCTCCTCTCGAGCGTACTGTAAATATTGATTTATTTAATAATAAATTTTACTTTCAATTTTAACAATTGACAATTTCTGGATGCGGTAATTTTAAGAAGTATAAATATTCAATTTGTTTTCAGTATCAAGTTCCTTGCGAAGAGTCCAATGAAACTTCTTCAGTTCCGTATGCGCTGCAAGATTTGTTAGAAAATTGGAAACTGAGAAATGCAGAGGAGTTTCCAAAGTATTGGACTAGGTACGACATCGGACAGGAAGGTCTACATTTTGGCTATAATGGAGATGCTCTACATCAGTTTACTCGAACAATTACGGTGAACGAAAACATGCAAGTTAAAGTAAGTTTTTGAAAAATAGCGATAGCGAATAAATTAATTTAAAAAATAATAAAATTAAAAAATTTCCTTTTCAGATTAGAGTCAACAATCGCATTTCGAATTTCGATATTATAAACAAGATTTCTTCTATCGAAGATTTACGGTTTTTAATGATAACTTTAATGAGCCTGAAACTTTGCACTAGAGCTGGGACAGCCATTTGCGAAAATGGTGTTTTTTTACCAACACGTAGAAGCGAGTTCTGCAAATCTTGTGCAATTAAAGTTCACAAAGAAAAAGAAAGGCAACGAAGAAAAGAAAAACTGTTGGACAAACACAAAGAAGCAAAGGCAAAGGTCATAAGAAATATTAAACTGAAATACCAACGATCCCGTAAGAAGGTAATAAATTTAATTTTAACATATAATACATTTAAAAACATTCATAAAAATCCGTATAAAAATGTGATGAATTTTATTGATGATATTTAATTATACTTTTATAGATTGATTCTCTGGAAAAGCAGATAGCAGAAGCACTGAGACTAAATTTTCTTGATTATTTGTTTTAATTTTTTTTTAAATTATAATTTTCTAGATTAAGTCTTTGGAAAATCAGGTAGCAGAAGCCATGAGGCAATGTTCTGCTGTGGACGAGCAAGTATTGGAAAAACAAATAGCCGAATTACCCGAATTACCCGAACAGATGCAAGATGTTGTTAAACATATCCTCATGTATGGAAAAGTTGACAGTAAAAATGGAATGCGATATACCAAACGGTATATCCTTGAATGCCTTTTATTAAGCATAAAAAGCAGGAAAGGATATTTGCATTTGCGATCGCATAACATCTTACCGTTACCAACTCCTTCAACGTTAAGAAAATATCTAAAAAACATGAAAGCTCAATATGGATTCGACTTGAGCGTTTTTAAGATGTTAAAGCTTAAAAGCGAAAACATGAAGCCCGAAGAAAGAAGAGGTGATTTTATTTGTAATATTAAGGTTTAATCATTGAGTATTAAAATATTCTACATTAAATAAAAAAAATTTTTTAAGGGGTTCTCGTTTTAGACGAAATGTCTCTGAGCAAAGGAGTACATTTTGACTGTGAAAAATTGTCCGTAATGGGCTTTACGGATTTAGGAGACTATACTCCGGAGCACCAAAAAAGCCAGCGGGGTGATCACGCTCTTGTGCTGATGTTCCAGCCTTTCCGAGGCAGTTGGGTTCAAAATATTGCGGCTTTTCTAAGTAAAGGTGCAGCAAATGGCGAAGTGCTGAACCATATTGTCTTAGAGGCCATTATTTTGTTGGACAATAGTGGATTTCAAGTTGATGTGGTCACAACAGATGGTGGTCAATGGAACAGACGAATATGGACATTGTTTGGACTAAAAAAATATACTGCTGACTGCATTCATCCATGTTCAAAACCTACCGATGAAGATTCAAATCAAAGACGTTTACACTTTTGCAGTGACTTCTCACAACTAGTTAAAAATTTTAGAAATTTTGTAATGGATGACGAAACAGTAGAGGTAATTACTTTTTGTGTGAATAATTATTTTTACTTTTTTGTTTTATACTGATATATAATTTTTATAAATCGGTGCAAATAAGAGCTCAAGAGTTCAAAAAAGGGCTCTTATTTACACCTTGTTATAAAAAGTATCGTTCGTAACTTGTGTTAATATTTGCAGATTTTTAAAAAACACTTTTCCAAAAATCTGCAAATATTCACACACGTTACGAAATATACTATTTTATTTTAGACTCCTGATGGCACTGTAAAAAAGGAGCACTATCGTGCGATCATAAGATGTGACGGAGGAGCAAAACATTTGGGTTTAAAAATTGCCCACAAATTAACTTCAGATCATCTTGATCCCCAGTTCTATCAAAAAATGCACGTACATAAGGCATTTGATGTGAGTTAACTGATGGATTTAATTTAATTAAATTTTATTTCACAAATTTGAATCATCTTAATATTTTTAAGGTATTCTCTGCCAACGTTGCCACAGCTATGGACATTTACAGAAACATGGACAAAGCTTTAAAGGATTGCGATCCGACAATTGAGCTTTTAAGACGCTTTGGTACTTTAATAACTACAATGACATCAAGGTGCCCTTTTAATGGTTTAAAAATTGATAGTGAAGACTATCACGTAAGTATGAATCATTTTTACACTATCCGAAAACATTAAAAAAAATTTGAAATAATTTTTTTGTAGAAAAAAAACAGTCTAGTAAATATATAAATGGGTCGTCTCTAGATTTAATTTAAATTTTTGTTAACTTACAGAATATTATCAGCTGCCGTGAATATCTACAAAATTGGAAAGATTTCGCCAAAAGAACAACCATCGTTTTATGTCCGAAAGTACATATAAGGGTTTTATAATTACTTTAACAACTGTAATTGAAGTTGTTAAATTTTTATCTACTCATTGTAACTATGATTTCTTGATGACTGCCAGACTCAATCAAGATGCACTTGAAGTAAATCAATTTTTAAATAATAAAATCCATTTTCTATTATTATTATTAGTATTATTATTATTATTATTATTATTATTATATTTACATATATATATTTTTATAGGGAATGTTCGGTATGATTCGTAGCTGTTGTGGTTCTTTTGATAAGCCGGACCCTTTATTGTTCATCCAAGTTTATCGCCTTTTGAGTTTTTATTCGTTGGTAAAACCGCCAAAAGGGTCAAACGTAGAAGCCATTGAAATATTTGAGATTTTGCTCAATGAAAGCGACACCGAAGTCCACAAAAATAAAAATGAATGGCTTAATGCATTGGAAGATATAATTGAACGTGGGGAGAACAATGATCCAGATAAGAATAACTATGCCGACGATTACAACGAAGTTGGTGTAAACCAATATGTACAAAGTTATTTTTCTGGATTTCTATCCAAAAAAATTGAAAAATGGACCTCATACCACGACTGTATAAATACAGTTCAAAAAGAAGAAGGAAATTTACCCAGGGACCAAATGATCACTAGTCTTAGCAGAGGATATCTCAAATACCCTTCGGATAAATTATTCAACCTCCTAAACACTTTGGAAAAAGTTATCTTGCAGACACTTGGCCAGGAACAATTGCAATATTACACGTTTCAGCGAATAGTTCAAAATATTTTGTGTGAATCAATTACTTTTGTAGGATGTGAAGAACACAAACATCAATTAACTATTAAAATTATTAATTATTACTCTGTTTGTAGAAGTAAAATTATTTGCAAGACACACAATAACGTGTACAATGAAGCCAGAAAGGAAGAAATGAAATTTCGAAAAATGTCTAAATTGGTGAACAAAAATGATAAAACTGTTCCCAAATCGAAAAAAGCCAATAACAATGGTGAGAAAATTAAAACTATTAAAAAAAGTATAATAAAAAAAAGCCTAATCATACGCAAAAATCAAAGAGAATTTTAAAAAGAAATTACGAAATTCTAAAAGAAGAGTGCAAGAAATAAAAATTATACTACTATTAAATCATTATAGATATTATATATATATATATATATATATAAATTATATTTTATTGTTTTTAAAAGAGAGAAAAAAATTAAAATATATTGTTTTTAAAAGACTGCAAAAAATTAAAATACTGCAGTAATATGTACAGTATATTATATTGTTGTATGATTTTTATTATCAAAATATTTAATACATATATAAAGGACAAATAAAAGATAAAAAAGTAGTGGATATAATTTTATTGACATTTTTTTTATTAAAATACCTGACATCAATTTTATATGTGCATGTTACAATATTTATACGTCATTATTATTATTGTATTTCATGTAATTATAATAATTTCGAATTTCATTTTTTATAAACATTCAATGTTTTGTATGTACATTTTTCCAGAAACAATAATATTATGGACTGTGTTTAAAATTTGTTCCATTTCTTCTTTTCGTGTAGGATTATCAAATTTTATCCATTTCATCAATGCAGAATGGTAGTAAATTTTTACATTTAATTCTAAATCGAAGCAAACTGCTAAATATGTACTGTGATCCTCTTCAACTCTTATAAACATCATTTCCTTGTTTGGGCTTTTTACTGCTACCCAATTTCTGCTTGGCAATTGCAAAGTATCTATATTATTTAAAATTCCATTTTTATAATTGAACTGAATTTGATTCAGCGATTTACTTTGCTTGATTTTTTCCATTTTGATAGCAGAGTCCTATAAAAAAATTTTGGATTGAAAATTCATAAGGATTAGCATTTTATGTTGATAATAAATAATGTTGAATATATATAACAATAAAAAATTCCATTTAATATTGTTTGTTTTAAAACAAAGTATCAAGTAATAAAGTATTAAAAAAAATCAATATATTTAATATTTCTAATTCTAATTCTATTTCTAATTCTTATTCCGATGAAAAATTTTATAAGCATTATAATCAAATATATTGTAATAATTACCTTATAAAGTTTTATAATAACTGAATTTTTGTTGACACAATCCAAGACAAAATTTGACAACAAAACCAAACAACATTCCGATTCTAACCTCACTTCCACAGTATGCGCAGAGTACTTATAATGGTCTATCGGACAGTGTACCTTCTTGAAAGCCAACTCCTATTCTTGGCACTTTCTCAATACATACCCCCACTACCCGAGTTCGACCTCCTGTTTCTAGTCTTCTTGGCGCCAGTAATTCAAGTGAATTTCTGTTATAGAAAAATTTTCTTTTTCTTAGAAACTATGCTGACCCCATTTACCCCAAATTTTAGGAAATTTTCTAAATCTTGAAGTAAATGGGGACAGTCAGTTTCATGAGTTTAAAGCTTATCTAAATTTTTTTCTGCTGCATAAAATTAATTCTGGGAATGTAAATAACAACTTTTATGAAAAACCCGCAAATATTACCTTTTAAAGGAAGAAACTTACGTAATTTGTGAAAAATAGAAATTTTGCCTCCATTTGCCCCAACTGACCCTTCTTATATTATTAATATTATTAATGCATCAGGAAATCCGATATGACGAATAAAATACAAAAAACCTAATATAATCGCTGTTTTTTTGAAAAAAAAATTTTTTAAAGTTATCTAACCTATCCTATTGGTGAATAAAATTGTTGTACTTTCAAACTATGCTTATAAGAACTTTCAATTTCAAGATGGCGGACTCAAAATGGCAGAAAAGCCACTAAAAGAACCCAAAAATTTTTAAATAAACAATTTACAGGCATTAAAAATATTTTTTTAGAATTTTTGTTCAGTTTTTATAATTTTTTCAAATCTTATCCCTTCAGAATACCTCTAAATGCTAAAAATATCGTGTCAAAAAGGTTCAAATACGTTATTTTTAATTTTTAAAAACTGACTTCAGAATTGTAATGAGCGACCTAAAAAACCAAGGAGTAGAAAGATTTATTTAAATTTGCTAAAAAGATTCTTGAAAAATGAATTTTCTCATAAAAAATAGCAATTTTTATACTTAGCTAATTTATAATCCTCTATAATTTTGCCTGCTACACTTATGATTTTTGTTTCACTTCACAATGTTTTCGTTATAGTGGAAAAAATGTTTTATGGATACTGCTTCAAAAACTTTGAATCAAGAGAGGAAAGTTAATAAAAGAAAAAGTGGAAAAATATGTTAAAACTGTGCCGCCAAAAAGTAAAGTAACACATCGAAAATAATTTAAAATTTTTGTTACTTTAGATGTTATAGAACCCAAATGACACATACAAAACAATATAACTAACTCCAATCATCAAAATTTAATGAAAAAAATGAAAATTCTTTTTACGCTAAAAAGTGGAAATAAATGGCTGGACTTATAAAAAAAAAATTTGAGTTGATTTTGATTTTAAGTTATTGAGATGTTATTCTAATACGTATCTAAGTCAGAAAAAAATATATTCGATTTGTATTTTGAATATTTTCTTCTATTCGCCATTGCTTCATCCACTATAAATTCAATTTTTTGTATTTTTTGATCTTAAAAAATTTGTAACTTTTATATTGTAGCCTCTATTGAAAAGTGTTAGAGGGAAAACTGTGTCATTTTAGGAGTATTTTCAGGGAAAAATAGTAGAAAATTAAAAAAAAGAAAAATTAAATTTTTTTTCAAAATTCATTTGAATAACTTTTTTGTTTTAATCTCTATCGAAAAGTGTTAAAGGAAAAAAAAGTTTACTTCTGGTAGTATTTTAAGGGGAAATTAAGAAAAATTTTTTTTTTAAATTTGAGAAAAATTGAAATTTTTTAAAATTCAAAAATTGAATAATTTTTAAATTTTTGGGCGGATTAGTCTGTCCAACGAACTCAGGCTTCATTTTTACATGTTGAAAGAGTGTACCAAATTTCAAAGCGATTCGTTAAGATTTGTTCAAGTTATCGTGGGGACAAAAAGTGTCTACAGACAGACTACAGACGATAGAGAGACGGACAGGTTTTCAAAGCATATTTTTTTGGCATCAGGAGGTCTCAAAACGTGGAGATTCACTGGAATTAGAAAAAAGTCAAAATCGCCTAAAACGAATACTTTCTTAGTTATGATCACGAAGTAATATAAGGAGACCCCATTGTCCGGGAAAGCTGAAGCCGTTTTCTTCGTTTCTCTTACAATTAACAGAGGTGTCGAACCCTAACGGGAAATTTTGATACCTCCGAGATTACGTCTGCTAAAAGTGACATGAGCAATGTAAATATGGAGAATCTCCATGGATATAAACATGATATAATTATTTATGTTGTGTAAAAACACAGTAACGAAGTAAAATTAGTAACTGCAAGTGAATATAAATTATTAAACTGTTTAAATTTTATTTTAATTATGGTTGTGTGATAAAAATATACTTTAATAAGATTTATATTTAAAATGAAACTCATTATTATTATTTGGATTTCTTTGAAAATAGTTTTGTAAATAGATTTATATTTTATATTGCCTTTAACACAATTTGTTTTGCAACCTTTAATGGAACCACTAATCATATTTCCTTACTTTTCTTTAAATTATTTACAAAAACCAGAAAAAAACAAAGCGATATAAAAACAATCAGTTTATGCAGGTTATGTCACGACAGCCATTTTGCGAAAGTTCTATGTGTTAGTAACTGTATGTAGACATTTTGTGTCAGTGTGGGTAACTAGTTCCCAAATTTTCCGATAAGTTCGACACCTCCGTTAATTGTAAGAGAAACGGGGAAATCAGCTTCAATTTTTCGTGGGCTTAATATAGCAGTGGGGTCTCCTTATACTACTTCGTGGTTATGATGAGAATGTAAAAATTACTACAAAAAAACTGACATAAAATCATATTAAAATCCTCACGTGGGATCATATATATCATTGATTTGAACATAAGAAATCATATAGGATTTCATGTAGATTCTGAAATATCTATATATAAGATTTCACATAGAATTATATAAAGGAAACAATATAAGATTTCATATAGGAATTTGCAGTTGGCAGACGGCAGTTTATAAAAATTAAAAATTATTTAATTAAAAATCAAATAATATTACTGAAATTTATCTGAAAAGAAAAAAAATTGTGCTTTGCAATATACCTTATGAGTTAGAGTCTCAGCTTTTATAGTATTCAAGACTGATCTCAACTGTGAGAAAAAAAATTATCACCATCTGGCGGCGTAAGAGTGGAACTATAATACCAGCATTTATACTTGCGTCTTATAGGTTTTGCTGGCATGTACTGCTTTATGCTACTACGATCTTCAAATTTAATCATAGATTCGTCTATGCTTTAAAACTTGCTTTGTTTCCAGTATTTCTTAAAATTTTCATTTAGTAGATTTAGAAAAGGTCGTTCTTTATACAATTTATCATAAATTAGATCACCTCCCAGTGGGCACACTTGTTCCAAAAACGTCTTGAAGATGTCTTTTTGAGGATGTCTTCTGGACTTTGATTTAAGAAACGGCGTAGATAATTACTGAATGAAAAATGAAACACAAAAATTTTTATTTTTAAGATTCCGCATACAAAACAAACCTAAAACTTGTATAAATTGCTCTCACACTGAGCACAGCAGTTCTCAAATTGAAGCATTTCATCAATCTGTCAATTTTGTAGAACAACTCACCTGCCTGAGGGAGCAGACAACCCAAAAACTTTTCCGTGCAATGTTGAACATATGTTTTTTGTTGATCGGAAGTGCACACGCGCAAGCCAGCGCTTGGTAAGGTTGTATAATAAGCAGGAATAGGTACCTCATATACGCGAAGTATGTTGTGAGGAACGTAGGCCTACAGTTTTCCACTAAAGAGGGACGTTCCTAATTTTCCGAGGAGGTAGTGAAACTAATTGGTCATGGAGCCGGTGGGAGATTTGATTACAAAGAGGGGGGACCCTCAGCGACCGAGAGAGTTTGACACTTACTTATTAGCCTTTGACAAAAATACACATTTTTAAACTTGCAAGTTTGAACCATTTTAATTAGGCCTAGGCTATCGTTAACTTTTTTCTTTTATTTGTATTGTGGATCCACGTGAAAAACATTTATGCCGTTGTGCATTTATCTTGGTGATAAACGTTTGTGCCGCTGAGCATATACCAATTGTGATAACTAATTGTGCCGATGTGCACGAATCTTTAATGTGACTGTGATAATCTCACGACTTTGGATTTTTATTTGTATCTTCCGTGCCCGAGAGGGAAGTCTTTGGGTTTTGCACCCAATGGATATTGTAATTTCGAGGGACGCCTCGCACTAAGTTCGCCTCCGATAGCGGAAATTCTAGACTCATTATACTCCAGATCAAAATAATCATCACAGACCTGAGTTGCATCATCACCACAGAGAACTTCGTATAATTGAGTATTTTTCTGTAATCTTATATTAACGAGCGTGTGTTTGAATGAATGCGAATTCGGATTAATTGAATGCATGAGTTTAGGTTTCATCAATACGATCTAATACTACGAGATATCATTCGGCTAAGTGTTTCTTTTACATTGTGAGAAATTTAGATCCCCAATTTCTCTTAATGTGAAACGGTGGAATGATTATCGCCCGGCATCAGTATCGAATCATAGAAACGCGGGGTTTTCCTTTTGAGATTCTTAGCAAGCGTCATCGTGTGTTCGCGTAAATATCGAAAATTTGTCGGGATAATTATTTTTTTTATATATCAACTGTGTAAAATTAAAATCAAACAGCACATTTTCATTAAAGAATCCAAGTTCTATATTAAATTTGTCTTGATTATTTCAAAATACCATTTAAATAGTTTTTTTTGATAGAATATTGTAAAATCATTATTTTCAAATAATTTTTGATTCTCTTATTAAAATTTCATTACAATGTATAACGTACGTTTGTTATACTCTGATAGTAGTGCGTAACTTTAGATTTTTAAGTAAAAATATTAATCTTTTTTTAAAAAGACAAATTTTTTAATAGAAAAGTAATTAAATAAAAATAAGTAAATACAAAATTTATAAGAAAATAAGAAATAAACTGCTGTTGTAATATTACATTTTTAAGACATAAAAATATTTTGTATGTCCAAATTCAGCACCCCTAAAATTGTGGCGTCCGGGGCAATCGCCCCTTTGGTCCCCTCCTAGAAACGGCTCTGGTAGAACATTCGCTTCAGCTGACTACTTTTTAGTGGCGCCAATGACAACAAGTATGGATGATAAAAACTGTCACTCGTACTAGTGCAATGATTCCATAAAACAACTTTAATTTATTCATTTATGTTCACTATATTGCGTTATCGAGCGTAAAGTGCATTGTTGAGAGTTCGACATTTTTATAGAGTTTCTTTTGAGTTTGTGTAAGTAGTTAATTTTTTGTAAGAATTGGTTGATTGGACTAGAGTTGGTAGTAGCATTAATTGTGGAAGAGTTGTATAAATAAAGATACCGCTGTTTAAGAGAAATTATTTGTTCAAAGGTTATAACCGGCTGAAAAAACTTGTACAAGAAAATGTACAAGTTCTTGTACATGTTCATGAATGAACTTGTACATTTTCTTGTACATGTTCAAGTACTGTTCAGAACTTGTACAAGATCTACTTGACTGGTAATAGTCCCTCAATTATTAAGACTCTTCAATTCTGCATGCAAAAAATTATTACGCAGTTGTAAAGGCTTAAGAAAACTACTGCACAGCCTTTAAAGTTTTTAATATAAAAAACAGAAATGAACATGTTCCACATCTGGTTCAAGAAAATGAACATGAAACCTGCACAAAAAATATGTACAAAAACAAGTACATTTTTTTGTCCACGATCTTATACAAGTTCCGATACAAGAACATGTCTCAATTCCGGATGCTGAACTTGTTCAAGAACATTAATTGAACATGTACACCTAGAAAAAAGTTTTTTTGTTTTAAAGAACTTTTCTTTTAATCAAAGAAATTTGTGCATTGTTATAGGGTCAAAGGAAAATTTCTTTGATTTAAAGAAATTATTTCTTTATTTGCTTTTTATTGACTCAAAGGAATATTTCTTTGATTTCACGAAATTTTTTATTTGCATCAAAGAAATAAATGTTTGTTTTAATGCAAAAATTTCTTCGAATGGAAAATATATTTATTTTATTTTGAGATTGTATATATACGTTCGTATTTTGATTAAATTATATTTTTAAAATATTAAATTAATTAAATATTTTTAAAATACTTAAAATGTATTTCAAAGACATTTAATTAATTTAATGCGCATTTTTACATGTAAAATACTGAACAAAACTTCATGGCAGAATTTTGATCACGAAGAAAACAATCAATACACTGCGAGTCATTATTTACACATTTCACATATCACTCGTAAATCTCAAAGGCACGAACAATTCACAAACTTTTTTATTACCCACTGTAAGAAAAACTAAAAATAAATTTAGCTATCAATACAAAACATTTTAGACCATAAATCCGATTATAATTAGCACGCTATGAACACGCTGCCATGAGGCACACACGGCTGTTTACTAATTTACGTAGTCTGCGAAAACGCAGTAGTGGCAACTTAGCGTACTTACGTGCGAAACAAATATTTCTTCGATTCAAAAAAATTTTCTTTAGGTTAAAAAAATCATTCAAAGAAAAAATTTCTTTGATTGAAAACACTCAAAAATTTCTTTTTCGTAAAATCAAAGAAAATTTTTTTAATTCAAACAATTTTTATCTTTGATTCAAAAAGTGAGTTTATAAAAACGATTTCTTTGTTTCAAAGAAATCTTTTCTCTGGGTGTACAAGAAAATGTGCAAGTTCATTAATGAACATGTACAAGAACTTGTACATTTTCTTGTACAAGATGTCATTGTCAAAACTCTGGTGTCAGAAAAGTCTCGGTATAGGGTGTGGGTATTCTTTCGGAGGAAAATTAATAGATTACATTTAAGCTGTAATCATCTTTCGATGTAACTCTGATGATTAAAAAACGACCCTTTCGAATTTCATTTAATTAACACTTTTAATTTACCATATACATGTTAATATTTTTTATTTGTTATTATAGATGGCTTTTTGGGAGATATAGCACTTCCAAACACAAAATATGAAACGGAGTGGCGTCAACAATATCTCAATAAGGGCTATGTCGCTGAGTTGGAAAAGTATAGGAATGAAATGTTAAATGAAGGCCTACAAATTGAAGAAGAGGGTTTGATAAGTAAGTTATTTATTTAAAAATTAACAGATAAATATTAATTTGAGTTTTAAAAATGTTATAGAATATACAAAATCAAAAGCGTAGTGGTTTCCAAATAAAAAAAGCCGTTCTGACAAAACTTAAATTAAAAAAGTTGTAAAAACTACAGATTTAATACTTTCTATGTTGATTTATTTTTGTTATCTTGAAACACTTTTAATTAGTAACATTTATCAAATTCTTTTGCACTTGTGTGAAATTTCCAGACCCGCCTATGCTGTGTATACAAATCTACTTGTATAAAACAACTTTGACAAATGTCTATACGCTATATTACATAATCCTATGTTACTTTCATGATATGTTGCGTGCAAGAAGACTAGAGACAGGAGGAGTAACTTCGCTTGAGTCCTATAGAGAACGTTGAGGTATAATATGAGGGCAATAAAGGTGGCGTACTACGCAAGTAGTCGGTGCAGTAGACTAAAATTGGGCTTCTGCGCATAATAACACATTTATCGGTTTACTTGTGTTTAGTATTCGAGTTCCTCGTGAACAGCGATATCGGACGCACGCGTTGCCTTTGCTCGCAAAAATTTCAAACCGTTCTCCGAACGTTCTGTGCGCATTAGTGCTTTTATCTTGATCTCAGCCGATCTGAGATCTGTGTTAGTTTTTCAAAGCGTAGTTATTCTGCCTGCTTCACAGGCTCTGTGTTATTTCCCAAGTGTTCGTTTTTAGGTTAGAGCCGGCCATCGTGCTGCGCTCGTGCAGCCGAGGCATGGCCTGCGGCGCATCATTGATGGATTTTACAGATCAGTCGTCTACTCTCGACGACTCGGAGGTGGATAGAGCGGCGGAAACTCGTAAACATCGATCGATTTGGGTTCAGCTTCGAAACGAACTCCAAAAACTCTCTCACAAATTTGATATACTCCTGCTCTGCGAATCCTTTTTAAAGCCCAACAAAAGAGACAATCTAAATTCCCTTAAACAATTCAATATAATTAGACAAGACAGAATAGTAAACAAGGGTGGCGGTCTTGTGATTGCCATCCGGAAAAATTTGACCTGCACTAGAATTCGTACTATTTTCACCGTAGAGGACGAACTTGAGACTCTTGCGGTTTCTATTAACTCCTCCTTAGGTGAAATTTTAATCATTTCAGTTTATAGAGTCCCCGGCAAACAAACTACACCCAGATACTGGAAACTCCTTTTGATCATTTTCCAGTTTTCACCTCACTAGGTCTCTCAATTCCCATTTTAACCTTTTCATCCCACAAATATAACCTCAGAGCAATGAATTGGAGTCTTTTTTCCAACAATCTCCGTGAATCTATAGACTCTAATCCAGATCTCTTAAACTCCAATGACCCAGTTTCCGACTACAATAATTTTACTGACCTTATAGACTCCGCAATAAATTCAGTCTGCCCTCAACGCAATGCCATACACAACAATAATATTCACACAGATCGTCCAAGGAAATCTATTGTTCCAGCACCCTGGTGGAATTCTAAATGCGACGAGGCTATAAAGGACAGGAAAATAGCCTTAAAAAGATACCAACGCCACTCAAATTACGAGAACTTTCTCTACTACAAAAAAAAGGAGGCCATAGTTAAGCGTAATGTTAACGAAGCTAGACGTCAATCTTTTCGAGTTTTTTGCGATTCCTTGGACAGACACACTCCTCTCTCTAAGGTCTGGTCTGTTGTAAAATCCTTTAAGAATCGTTTCACACAACCTCAGACGGCCTCATGTTCAGCAAACAAAGAAACAATAGCTAAACTTCACTCTCTAATAGATGAAACCTGCCCTCCTACAGCATATTTCGAAAAATTTCCTAACAACTTTGACAGCGATCAATTTTTAGAAACGCCCTTTACCCTTTCTGAACTATCACTGGCTATTAGATCATGTAGAGTTAAGTCATCCCCAGGTCTTGACAAAATCGACTTTAATACTATCCAACACCTCCCAGATGAAGCCCGTTCAGCACTTTTATCAATTCTGAATAGATTAATCTCCAGTGGCACCTTTCCTCCCTCTTGGAATAACTTCCTCGTTTTTTTTATTGCAAAATCTACTCCAAATAAATTCCGACCTATTTCCTTAGCCTCCTGTCTTTTCAAACTCACAGAAAAACTAATTTACAATAGACTCCTTTGACTTATTGAGCGTGACAAAATTCTCAGTCCCTACCAGTTCGGTTTCAGAAAGGGCAGATCCTGCTCGGATAACCTAGCGCTGATTTCCACAGAAATCTGGTCAGGCCTACGTCAACGCGAATACGTTGGCGCTTTGTTCCTCGACATCAAAGGCGCATTCCCTAGTGTAATCCCGAGTATTCTTGCAGAGGACCTCAAAGATATTGGAATTCCAGAAAAAATAACTCGATTTATATACGAATCCATCAAATGCAAAAATGTATATTTTAAAGTTAACGGCGAAATCATTGGTCCAAGAACCAACACTGTTGGCGTCCCACAGGGAAGCATCCTCATCCGTTGAATTTTGGTATCTATACCAGCTATGGGATTCCTTTTAGCAACGGCGCTAAGTAGCGCATTGCATTAATTAGCACTAAAAAATTAATTTTTTTTTACAGACTTATTGTATATGATAATCAAGATCAACTCCCGTTTGAATTTTGTCAAAAAAATTAATTAGTGGCGTGTAAGATAAAAAACAAAGTCTATCGGCGCTACGAGTTAGCGAATTGGTCAAGATTTTGTTCCAAATCGCTACGGTGTAATCGCTTCGGAGCGTAGCGCAAAGTCACTAGCTATAACACAAATTCAAATTCACTTAAGAGGAGAATACACTGAGTTTTTTTCAAAAAATCAAATTTTTTTTAGTTTTCGTTACCATAATTATTTAAGATGGCGGTAAAAATTGTTTACAATGTATCCAATGGTTATAAAAGGGTTAAAATAAAGTGGTTAACCCCTTGCCTGTTGAAAAGGCAAATTATTATTTCTCAAATGAGACTTGAGATTTGTCTCAATTGACGAGTTTTAAGTCACAATTGAGACAAGTCTCAAGTCTTAATTAAGACAATTCTCAATTGAGACATGAGACTAGTCGCAATTGAGACTTGAGACTCGTGTCAATTGAGACATGAGACTTGTTGCAATTGAGACATGAGACTAGTCGCAATTGAGACTTGAGACTCTGTACTGTACTGTACTGTACTGTACTGTACTGTACTGTAGTGTAGTGTAGTGTAGTGTAGTGTAGTGTAGTGTAGTGTAGTGTAGTGTAGTGTAGTGTAGTGTAGTGTAGTGTAGTGTAGTGTAGTGTAGTGTACTGTACTGTACTGTACTGTACTGTACTGTACTGTACTGTACTGTACTGTACTGTACTGTACTGTACTGTACTGTACTGTACTGTACTGTACTGTACTGTACTGTACTGTACTGTACTGTACTGTACTGTACTGTACTGTACTGTACTGTACTGTACTGTACTGTACTGTACTGTACTGTACTGTACTGTACTGTACTGTACTGTACTGTACTGTACTGTACTGTACTGTACTGTACTGTACTGTACTGTACTGTACTGTACTGTACTGTACTGTACTGTACTGTACTGTACTGTACTGTACTGTACTGTACTGTACTGTACTGTACTGTACTGTACTGTACTGTACTGTACTGTACTGTACTGTACTGTACTGTACTGTACTGTACTGTACTGTACTGTACTGTACTGTACTGTACTGTGTTGTACTGTGTTGTGTTGTACTACCCTGTTTTTAAGTTGTTTTTTAATTAGAAGAATCCGTAGAGTAGCTAAGCGAAGCGTAGCGTAGCGTAGCGTAGCACTACTTAGCGCCGTTGCTAAACGGAATCCCATAGCAGAAATCTCAACTCCATAATTCCCGATGACTGCAAAATATACGAAATCGCGGATGACTGGTCCATTATCTCTCGCTCCGACGATCCAAACGTAGTTATAGCCTCACTCCAAAACTGCCTCAACATTATTTCTGCATTTTTATCCAACAGAGATCTGGAAATTTGCCCTATAAAAACACAACTTGTTATATTTAATAATCAAAAACTCGACACAAACAACCCTCTATTATCCATAACCTTAAACGAATCCTTCATCAAACCATCCATTTCAGCGAAATACCTTGGCGTCTATTTTCACGAAATATCTTCCTCTGATACCCATTTTAATTATCTTTGCGATAGAATCACAAAAATATTAAACATACTTAAAGTTCTCAGAGGCACATGATGGGGAGCAGACCCTTTCCTGTTAATTCGCATCTATGACTCTCTAATTAGAAGCCATATTGATTACGGCTCTCTTGCCGCGAACTTCAAATCCCATAAAAATTTTGTCCGTTTGGAAAAACTCCGCAATCAAGCACTAAGGTTGGCCGTAGGTTATAGGCAAAGCACCCCTATTAATGTTATGATGGCTGAATGCTGCGAACCGCCTTTAAGATCTAGATTCAACTTTCTTGCTAAAAAATATCTCCTCAGAGTCTTTTCAAATTCTATCCATCCCCTCCCGACCAGACTTTGGGAGCTTTCGGAACTCACTATTGACTCCAACGTCAAATTTAATTACCCCCTCCTAATCGCTTTTGAATAAACGAAAGCTTACAGCGAATATATTAGAAGAAAGGACATCGATCCTTACTTCGAATTCCTCTTTGACGATCATTTATTTACCCCGAGAATCATTCTCAATTGGGGAAAGTTACTGCAGGACTCACCTAACACCTAAGTTCTATTTAAAGAACTAATTAATTCTAATTTCCCTAGTCACACACTCTTTTTCACCGATGGTTCCAAATCAGAAATAGACCATGTAGCCGGATGCGCCTTTGTCTGCCCCTCGTTGCATTTAACTTCCAAATTCAAAATCTCTGATTATGCGTCAATATTTTCACTAGAAGCATTTGCAATTCTTTTCACACTGGATCATATCATTAATTTTAACCTTTCTAATACCGTAATTTTTTCTGACTCCCTTAGTGTCCTTAATAATTT